TTTCAAATCTTCAACTAGTTCATAGAACCAATAGTTGAAGGATATATTAATGCTTGTCTTGTGTTGCTGGTTTGTATACTTTAATTTTACAATTAAGTCATTAATGTAATTATAAATAAGACCTAGTTTAACACTTTTTCTTCCTATACTTATTCATCTTTCTAGTTGCATTATAGTATATGATAACCTTAATTCTTTTGTTTTTCTTTTTCTATTCTGTGCTGTATTGCAGATCTTCTTCTTTGGTAAATTACACCTTGCTATAGTGAGAATATTACTACTTATATTATCTCAGAGCTTATCTAACTCCACTACACTTCTTTCATAGTGATATTTTTCCTTTAAAAGGTTCTATATATTTGCATTTTTGCTAACAAACTGTCTATTTGTCTTCTATAATCTTTTTAGTTTTCTTTTGTTGTCTTTTCACAGAGAAAAACTGTTTTTGTGTATCCTTTTCTTTTACATTTTGCTACACTTTGGCTTGCAATTAGATGATTTAGATATATTCTGGTTATCATTGCTATATGGTCACTATTTGTATAAATATTTATTTTATTTTTTGTATCTCTATATCAAACAATCTATAAGAAAGTTTATCTGACACCCAAATCTTATCAATCTTTATACTTGTTTATTCATTTAATCATATAAATTTTTGGCTCTTGGATACATTATCCTTTAAGTATTTTGAAACTTTTGTTTCTGCAGCCAATTTAAAAAAGTGTTTCTTTTTGGTTTTTTTTTCTCAGTGTTTTGCATTCTATCTAGCTCTAAATCTACTATATTGTTAAAATCTCCTATAATTATCAATTGTGCTTTGAGAGATTTATTAATGAATTTCTCAACAATTGTTTTATAAGTCTTTTTCTTTTCTTGTTCATTATTTGGTGATATGTAAAGCATTATTACTATAATCTCTAGTTGTTTAAGTATTAGACTTATAGAGATTATATACTCACTTATTCTGTCTACTTTTTCTATATACTTTTCCTATTATTCATTTACTAATAGACCAACTTCAGAACCTTTCTTCTTGTTATGATCTGAGTTTGCTCAAAAACTTCTATATTTGAATTAAGCTTTCAATAGCCATTCTCTTTCAATTCTTGAAATATTTGTTTTTGCAATGTCTAGAATATCTATTTTGTTGTCTGATGCCCACTCAAAAGCAAATTTTAGTTTGTGAGCATTGCTTTTAATACCATTAATATTATATATTACAATGTTAAGTTCTTTGGTTTGATTAATATATCTTTTGGTTGTAATGTATGTGATATTTTTATTTTCCTCTAGATTTAATCCTTCTCTATTTATAACTTCCTTTCCTTTTCTGCTACCTGTGTTGTTTAGTAGATGAAGGATAATATTTTTTTGTTGGATGTTCTCTTGCAGATCTGTTTGCAGAAAAGGTTTAAATTCTTTACTGTTTTCCTTAATTTAACTAATGCCTCTAAATTTAGAAGTGCTGAGCAGCTAAAGGCTGCTTATTGAGTTTTTTTAGATGTCACATAATCTCCTGCAACATTGTATAATATTTATCAATTTTTACTGTTAGACTCTTTTTTTTTGAAAAATATTTGTAGCTTGTGCTTCTTGATTCTCTTTTTTTGTTAGAGTTTTTTCTTTTACTACTCCAACTTCTTTCGTCTTCTTGACTACTACCCTTTTTATCTGATGTTTGTTCCTTTTCATCTATTAAGGATAATCTTCTGCTATATCTTCTTCTTCTTGATGCTATCTCCTTCTTTTCATCAGATGTTTGTTTTCTTTTTCTTAGACTGTTGTTATATCTTTTTTTCTTTTCTGAACTACTCTTCACCTCTTGTTTCTTTCTTGTCCACTTTGTACCCAATAAAGTTATAAATTATTATATCTTACTGACTTATTCTGCACTTTTCTCATTTCTTTCTCTGAAGCAAAAGTTACTTTTGATATTTGCTTCATAAAACTATTTCTCTTTTTAGAAATATAAATCACTTTAGCTTTCCTATCTTTTAGATATCTAAGGAGGAGGTTTCTGAGAGGCCTTTTGTAATTCCAATTAATTTTGCTATAAATTTGTGTTTTTGATCTCTTTTTTTGTGATTTTCTGTCCTTTTTAATACCCTAGCAAATCTCCTATTACCTATTGGAAGAGCCCAGGATATATCTTTAGCTTCAATCTTTGTAGTAAATTCTATTACTAAGAGCGCTCGGCTATTCCTTCACTTAATATACATATCTTCTATCTCTCTTAATTTTTTATATATATACTTGATTTCTTGTGTCTTTATATCTACTAATAGATCCCAAACTATAATGCAGTTTATATTTATATGTCTTTTATAATTGTATTTTTTCTTTGTCATTTGATTTCATTTTTTATGAAGATTTTATTTATCATTGAGATTGTTTTTTTCTTTGTTAAGTGTTTTTCTTTCAGAGTTTTTATTTCTTTTGTAAGAGTACAGTCTTTCTTTTAGCTTTTTGTTTTGTTTTCTTCAGCTCACTTTGGTGTTTTTCTTTTTCTCTGGAATTAAAATCAACCAGTCACCTTCTTTTTTCTTAATTCTGTCAATTACTAAGTTTTTTCCAAAGTCACAGTTAAAGCTGCTTCCACTCAGAGGTTTTAATTTTAAAATTTTTTTCAATTTTCTTAATGTGTTTATTTTCATCAAAAATTCTTTTGACATATCTAGCTCTTTCTTCTACTAAGCTTTCTGAAAGACAATATACTGGCATATTTGTCAAAAATAATTAACTGTCTTCACATAATCTATTCTCTGGTGACCAGATACTTTGCTCTAAAATAGCTGTAAAAACTTGTAAACTATTCTCCTCTGCTTAGGTATTATTCAATTAAAATTTAATGACTTTTGTTTCTTTTTGGTACTGTAAGATTGTGTCTTTTAAAATGCTTTTGATCAGAGCTTTTTTGTCTTTTTTCATTCTCTTTTCTTCTATTGTTGCATTTTTTTTATTGTTTTCTCTTTCTAGATCTTTTATAAGTTTGTTATTCTGGGTGTTCGTTTGAGGTTATGAAGAAGCTTCTTGTGTTGTAGCTTATGATTCTTCTATTAAATAACAATTTGATAATATTTTTGTTTAGTTTTAATATTTAAATCTTGCATCTGTTTGACAACCTGATTTATATTTTTATTTATTTTAGCTTCCTCTTTAGGAAAACTTCTTTTTTTTTAGTTTTAATAACTGTAATTTCTTTACTAGACTATTCTTTTCTATTTCCTCCAGTTTACTTTCTTCTTTTTTAATCTTTTCTTTATTCACACTTGTAATGTATTCTATCAATAACAAGTTTGTTCTTGCTATTCTAGCTTTAACTGCTCATTGCTAAATTGTACCTTCTTGTAAGTAATTTTCTTCTTTTCTGAATGCATCTCAAATTTAACTATATAAAATCATTTTATATGCTGTAACTTTGCTTAAATCTTGTACTATAAGATCTTTATCTATTTCATCTGGTTTATATAAGATGGATGTATAAGAATTCCTACTAAATCACTACTATTTGGATATCTAAATACCTTTTCAGATGTCCCATACACAAGTTTAAGAAAATCATCTACTCCTGATAATCTTTTGTCAAATTCCATCAGTTTCTAAAACTTTCTGTATATTTGTATATGTTTTGTTTATTTTATATGTGTGAAGTTTCCTTTTGTTTACTTTGTCTATTTTGTTGCACTGTTATGTATTCCTGAACTCCAAAAGATTATTAAAGTATATGCAAAAAACATAACAATATAATACAATTTAAATAAAATATATTAATAAAATATCAAACCAAAAAATATTTAACTGTAAATTAATCTTCAACTTTATAAACTACTATAACCGCTCTCAAAGTTGACACACAACTTAACCCAGGCTAATATCAAAACCTTCAAAATAAAATTAATATTAAATAAACTTTCAATATTTCCCAACTTACATATTCACCAACCAACAAAATACAGCAACAATATATATTATAGATGTATACAAGCAAATGAAGATAACCAACACTAGCTTATCTGCACAATAAATATTCATTCAATTGACAATATAATCACACAAGTCTTTAATTAAATAAAACAAAACTTTCAATTAGATATAAACTTAACTAACTTTAAACAAAGTTTCTTATAAAAATTTATATACAAATCACAATCTACACTATTTGGAATCATTACTAATAACATCATCATCAACAATACTTCAAAGTACCCGACCTGCTATTTCCTACACCACGTAGTTAAAGATATTCAAAAAAAAATCTGGAAATCAAAATGTATTGAACTCCCAAACAGGCCCAAACTTCTCAATCTACAATCCTGATCCCAAACAAACACCAAGCTACATATCCAGCATACTACAGAACGTATAAATATAACCTATGGCTCAATAACTTTATAACAGCAAATACCTCACCACTTACAATCCCTTACAAAGCTTAGGTCAAAGGTAAAGTAGCTTTAGCCCCTAGTTCCCCCATAGATTAGAAAACATAACATATTGTAATAATAATTGTAATATCCTATGAATTCTAATAAAGGAACAGAGGCACGGTCTCGCTTTTTTTTTAAAAAAAAATAATAAAAATAAAAATAAACAAGTCATTAAATTATTATACTTCGTTGTATTAAAAAATAATACAAATAAATTTAACGTACTTGCTATAAAATTATTAAATTCTTTTAAATTGTCATAATTGTTTATTCTTGCTAAATATCACCGCTAGCAAAAATACATATCTGATATACTATTTTCTATTAAAGCTTGAATATTTATTATTTGAAGTTCACCACCTTTCATGCGGCAATAAATAAAAGCAATTTAAAATAAAAAGTTCAGCTTGTTAAACCATCGCATTTATTGAAAGATTGGATGTTGATTCGACAGCTATCTATGAAAGTAACTATTATCAAGCTTCGTAAATTAAATGCCAAGTCAGATTTTATTATTTAATTTAATCTAGTAACATGTTTCATATACAGCACTAATTTCAATAAATTTTATCAGTCAACAGATGATTGTTCGAAATCAAATTCATCATCACTAGCACTTTCATCACTTGAAGAAGCATTGGATTCGAATTGAGATACAACTAGACGCCTGTAAGGAGTTAAATGATTCTTTGATGATGGTGATTTAACTGATGCCCATCTTGCGACTGAATTTGGTGTTAACGTTCCTTGGCATTGTTGTTGAAATTTAACAGATGTTGGTGTAGATATTGCATTTTTTTCCATCTTAATCTCTTCAGGAATCAATTTTTCATTATCTTCAATAAAATTCATTTTATTCATTTCATCGTTCACTTCCACTAATTGAAATAACACAACAAAAAAGACGGCAGAAGAGTCGCGTGCCTTGCATACATAGCGAAAAGGCTTTAATTGCAATAAAAGATTGTTCGAAAAACATTTAATTCATAACATGTCATTAAGATTTTTAATCATGAAATCAAATATTAACTTACTTGACCATCCCAATACTGTAACACACCGATTTCAAGTCCAGGTAACTGCATACAAGTTTTTTGTCAATATATTTAACTGAAGAATATTTACAATAAAAATTACCAGATTTATTATACGAACCTTCACATTGATATGATTGAAATCTATATACGAATTAAAAAAATCGAAGTCCCAAACTTGATTCTCAGTAATTTTAAAATTTATACGATTTGTCTTTGAAGAAAAATATTGTTTACGTGAAGTTTCATCAGTGGAAATCAATGATCCAATAATAGGATCATAAATAGTATCATCCTTAAGATGTTCACCATTTGGAGAAGGCCATGGAGGTAAATCATTACTATCATTTGAATCTTGAACACGAGCAGAATTAGTAGTAAAAAGTAACGGACTATAAGCCCAAGGTTTTTCCGAATAAATATCAGCTTCTAGAGCGGGGTCAATCCATTTCAATATTTTCAATCCTAACCAACTGATGGTGGGTAAATTAATCTTGCGATCAAAGTCATTCTAAAAAAATACAAAGCACGTGATATTAGATACTTTATAAGTAAACAAATCTATAAATGATTTTTTAAAACAAAAAAAAATACCCCAAAAAGAATATCGTCAGCTGTCCATTTGTTTCCTTTAAACCTTCCTTGAATTTGTATAGAATATTGATAGTTGTTTCCATTAAAGTAAGGGCTCGATGATAAAAGTTTTTTTTCAGGTGGAGGTACACCTTTAAAATCTCTAACGCGAACACAAATTCTTCCAGTGAAATATTCAGTATCAATAAAAAAAGGATTCTCATCATCATTAGGAAGGAAAATAATATGTGTCGATGGATCATACGATGATCCAACAGTTACTTGTAATTTTAACATTTTTTTTGAAAGATTAGAAGTGAAAAATTAAACGGATATGTAAATAAAATGAAAACAACGTATAATCGTGGTCACGCGTATCACGTGATCATGTGATAAAGATTAGCCGATCATTTATTATTACGTAAGTCTTACTAATTCATACGTAGCAAATAGTATTATTAATGAAATACGTACATGATTAACACTTTTCGAATTTCCGATTGTGAAAGTAAAAAAATCACTCATGACAATTTGACGGATTTAAAGATTCGCGATATACGTGCTATTCGGTATAATAATTTTTAAAAATTTTCCAATTGGAGCAAGTAGTATATATAAAAAAGGCGATATTCGTAACAAAATCGTTTGTAACAAAATCGTTTGTAACAAAATCATTTGTAACAAAATCATTTGTAACAAAATCATTTGCAAACCAATAACAAGTATGTATATAGTTTTTATATTTATATAGTTATCATCAATGGGAGTTTAGTACAAAAAAATACAAAGTATTTTATATAAAAGGGCGTAATGATGCATGACTCGGAAGACATTTTGAAACGAAAAGAGTAATAAAACACAAGTTTTTGAGGTTTTATATGAGTAAGGACTAGTAAGGACTATGACGCATTTATCCGACGGATTCGCGCAGTTCTCAAATTTAATAAGTTTACAAAATTTATCCGGAGTTTAAAACATATGCTATTATATACGATTATTATTAATAATATTTAAGTGATAATCCTTTCCTATTTAGAATGATCAATGAAAACACTTTTATTACCACATGGTTATATATAATAAGAAATACTATTTACGGTTAATAAGTAAAACATTTTAGTGAATCACACAACGCACAGCCATCCCCGCGTAAGCAGATTTTAAGAAGCCCAGGGTTTTTTGGTTTAACTTAATTCTAACAATATTTGGTGTCAGTAGCATGATAATAAATAACATAAGCTCTCCACAAATTTCCTAATTGAAAAGTTTTGTATGAACGTCATTCTTTAAAAGATCTTGCGGATCTGCGCAAAATTTCGTTTTCATGTGGCAAACGGACTCCTACTACCAATTATAATAATTTGTCTAACTGGTTGTTTGTTTATGAAACACCAATGTACCAAGATGATCAAAGGGAACGCACGAGTAAAATGAAAAAACGAGTACAGGAGATTAAACAATGATATAGACAGATATGAAGATTGTGTTCAGTATTGTCAACAAAAGTTTTAGAGCAATCTTCGATGACTAAATAATTCTTAATAATTAACATCATACCTATAACACTTTAGTAATAATTTTTACTTCTCCTGAACACAAACATTTGATTTCCACTTTCTCAGGAATCGTTTAAGAGAGCGGCTAAAATCGTGGCGACGAATTTACAGTTTCATTAATAAATATAGGGAGTGTTATCTCATAAATCTTTTTTTGGATTTTTTTTAAACAGTTTAATATTGGTGCATATAAAAATGTAATGTAACTCTACTTAAAAGGTTGGTCCAAAAAAAAACAACCAATCATACAAAAGATGTAAAATATTGGAAGATTCGAAAGATTCGAAAGATAATGAAAATAATGAAAGGTAATGAAAGGTAATGAAAAGTAATGAAAGATTAAGGGAAACACATTCGGACCATTAGTCAACCCGTCCGGCATACGTACGTACAAGAGTATAAACATATTTGATAATATTATATCTGATATGCACGAGGAAAGCATATAATGAAAGGCACGAGAAATTTCACAAATTTAATAATTTGATTGTGATTGATAAATATGGTTAATGTCAAGTAGTAGAAGCATTAGGGGCACTAGATCAATTAGATAACAATAAAATGAATTGGACAACTGCTGCAACAACTGCAACAACTGCAACAACCTGTAGTAACCCACGATTATCGAAAAAACGTTTCCAAAGATCCGAGTATCAGCCGATTTCAAAGTTAATAAATATTGTTACTGATTTTTATTGTTCATCCCGCGTGGCATATCTTCACGTGGGCATTCTTAAGATTTACCTATCGAGTGATTGAAGTCGTTCAACATGGACATGGATACGGATAAATGGAAGACCTGGTTCTGCCTGCTACTCACGTACAAACGTACGTACAGTACTTATGTACAACGAATACCAGAAAATACTAAATCCTTAATTAACTCGTGTACTACAATTAGATTCTTTTCATACTCAACATAAATGAACAGATATGAACAGATTTCCCACTTTTTGCTTTCTTTGAGATTCAAGCATATGAGCCGATCTTCCTTTTTAATCCTGGACAACTTTTTGTGGAATATAAGGCGTTCTCGACAATGAAATAGATAAGTCAAATAATATTTTGGGCGATTGATTGATTCAAAATTCTAGCATTCACACATGACTTTGTGAATTCTCATAGTGAGTAAAAGAAAATTGACAGATATCATGCTTAATTCCTTCTCTTTACATGCTTTATCCCATGAGATCTGCATAAAGATAGAATGGATCAAGAAATAATAAAAACGCCTGAAAAGCCAGACATTATAAAATGGACCACATCTTATTAAGAAATGGTTCTTTGTTCCATTTTGAAAACACATTGTTACTATTGTTACTAATGTTACTAATATTTTCCATTCTTATTATTCTATCGTCATGCATGAAATTTTTTTAATTTTAATTTTGCATTTTTTTGTTGCTGGTTTCGTTCAAATGGACAGGTGGACAGGTGGACAGCATAGTTGGCGTCATTGTAACAGCCTTTAGTTGCTTTACAGTTTTAGTAAAGGGAAATAGTATGGATATGAAATACGGTAACAATTGCGGAAGATCTCTTTGAAATGAATTATTACGGTACATAGAGTACACGAATACGTAGGATACATGCGATACATGGGATACATAGGAAGACGTAAGGAAAAAACAAAGATAATGAGAGATAATGAATTGTATTAATCAAGAGAACACGACAATCAAGTGGTTTCAGATGCTTCATGCTTCTCTTCGCACAGATCATATGACATAGTTTCTAGTTACGTATTCTTGTGGAAAGAAATTCGAGCTAATAGAGGAATTACTTAGTTGATCATAAGGATTCGTCGAATTGATAAATGTATAAATAAATGTATGCGCGATTATCTTTTACTTTATCGGTAAGTGCAAAGGGTTAATGGATGTGGTAAATAATCATCACCTATAAAATGTATAAAATTTAATGAGCCACATTTTTATCACCTCAAAAATAGTGTCACCTTACATTTTTGATCATTTAATTAATAATTTAAAATAATTTAAAAAATTTTAACGTTATTTATTATTAACGATTATTAACTTTATGAAGAAAATAAAAATCATTGCTATCAAATTTAATTAAGTAAATCTATAATCTGTTGAAATTGAAAGAAGACACTAATGGTTATATTAGTATAACAATTTAGAAATAACACAAATAACTTTAATCTTTTCTCGACTGACAATAAAATAAAAGAAAGTAACTAAAGAAACAAAAATAACGAAGTGCATATAATTGCGCCAAGTTTTGAAGTTTCGAAATGACATACGTGCAGTAAGCAAGGAAAAGAAGGAAAAATGGTGAATTTCTTCTAAAGCAAGTAGCTGCGGGCGTGAATGAGATACATGAAGGTAATTTTATTTATCGTTATTACCCTTCAAAAAAAAAATACAATGCAAAGAATGCAGAACCATGCATCGTGCAGGGTTTTTGTAACGCAGACTTGATCCCCAGGCTCGATCCACAGATGTGTCTGTGGGGCAATTTTTATTGAGTGAGTTTGTTAATCATTATCTGTTATTGCATTATAACCTATTATCTCAGGTTTTTTTTTTTTTTTGGTTTGTTTTTTTATTTTTATTTTTATTTTTTATTTTTGTTTTTTATTTTATTTTTTTGTTTTGTGCCAACTTTTTTTTCTCTATTGTTTCCTCAAAAACTGCATAGAAAACTGCATAGAATAGATATTGTAGTCGTCAACAATGCAATATGTAATGGAATGCAGTGTAATCATTATCACATCCAGTTTAGTGTCGACATAATAAGTAGAATATTTATATGACTACAGATAAATAAAGATGTAAGATGTATGATATAGAACTCTTTTTTTTTTTTTTTTTTTTTTACCATTATTTGAGCGATGTTTGTTATTCTCCACATCAATAAACTTGTTTTTACAATCATCTTTGTTAGACGATCATCTCGTAAATTGTTTCGGGAAGTATTTCAAACAACAATTAGCGAACAATTGGCCTAAGAATCATTATCTATCGTCAAAAGTACGTCAAGAAGCATACAGTCGGCAAATATGGTTAAATGATAAATGCAAACCGCATTATAAGCTCTATTCGGCAATATATTGTTTGACAATCGGTTGAAAGACAATGATTTTTTAAACGATTGAACGAAGATTTAATAAACGTATGTACTTACTGTTAAGTATATAAGTGTATATAAGTATATAAGTATGTACTATGTACAAAGAGGTTAAAAAAAAATTTTTTTCACAGAATAAAAACTCCTTGTTTAATTCACC